ATACGAGGTCAGACCAGCCCAGGGTGCAGTTGGGTTTTTTGGCTCCAGGTCAGTCAGTTCCCCAACCTTACTTGGAGAAGTCGTTATGAATCCTTAGCTTTCCTCTCAGGCCTAAACTGTATTTTGCCAGGCACTTGCTTCCCTGTGCTGCCCCCTCCGGGGTGAGAGAGAAAGGCAGAGAGCCAGCTCTAATGAGCCTCCGCTTGGTACTGAACACATCCGAAGATAGTAAATACCACATAAATCTCACAGCCTGATGCATAAAAGCCTCTGAAGGATAACCCAGAGCCACTTGCAGAGAATAAAATTGATCTCAGCAAATAAAATGGTATATGTAATCCAGTGACTCTTGGTTTTTGAAGGAGAAAAGTGTTGAATGTGTCCAACTTTGAAACATCTGATGCCCAGTCCACTAAGCATCTCACAGTACTTGTTAAGCCCTGGGGATGTCACCGATTTCAAAATGTGCTGGGCCGTAGGCTGGCAGTCCATTTACAGTGTTTCATCTTGGGGTTAGCAACGGTGTTTTTAATTCTTCAGGTCACTAGACAAGAACCCTGAAGACATCTTTCTGCTGCCCCATCTCAGTGTAAAGAGCTTTGTCAATTGCCATTTTACAAGTTCACTGGCATGCTTTAGTCTCCACTATAAAGGGCCCAAACTTTTGGTATTAGGAGAAAGGCCAAGTTTCTACACTAGAGCAAAGATCATTATGTTTGGAGAAACACCTGCTGTGAAACCAGTGATGTGGTTTGCAGCTCCCTGGGACTTGTGCTGTGGGAAGTACATTTCTGTCAGGCAAGTGCAGGGAGGCCTCAGTAGGAAGTGTGCAGAAATTGGGGATTCAGTTATTTCACAGTAGCTCTGCCGCTTTAGAAAGGTAATTACCTGGGAACAGCCTTTAATGTAATGCAATCACACAACATTGCCATGAGGAAAGAGCTGTCCCATTGATATAATGTTCACCTGGTGGAGTAATTAATCATAGACGTGTATATATGTGTATATATATATGTGTGTGTATGTGTTTATGTACATAAACAAATGACCAGTTGTATATTCCTACTCAAGTGAGATGTTGGTGCCAGTTTTGAGCATTAGTAATAGATTTATCAGTTAAAAGGGTCAGTGTTAGTTGATTTCTGATGTAATAAATTCTGTCTCTAATGGTTCCTATGAGAGTCATTAATAACTTTAGACTGAAAAAGCATTCTCAATATCATCTTCAGAGAGAGGATAGTCTTGAGAATGGTCTGGTTTCTTCATCTGTGAAAAGAATGAGTGGTTTGGTGTGCTACTGAGGACTTTCAGGACCATTGTCATCTCTTGCCTGGCCCGGGGCTGCATCAGTGTCACTGTCCCAGCAGGGTCTTCTAGCATTTATCTCCTCATTATAGCTGCCTCTCATTTTGACCAACTTCCCACTCTCTGTAAAGTCCGTCGTTGCTTCTGGTAGGGTCAGTGGGTCTCCCCAGGGTGCCCACTGTTCTTTCTTCCCTCGTCTCTGTGCCCCTCGTCTCCCCCCATGCCTGACTCTTAGGACCACTGCTGCGTATCTGAATGCCTTTTCTGTGCCAGAAAATATTAATACTGCTGCTCTCCTCACCACACAGTCTTTTTTCCTCACTTAAATACCTCACAAAACTTGACTTTTTCCAGAAAGTCTTTCTGAATTAATCAGAAAAGAACAGCAATTTTCCGTGACTCAGTCCAGCCACGGTAATTTTGAAAGTGGAGCTTGCGACACTGCTGTCCTCATGCTCCAATTGCATATTGACCTTTGTCCTCACCCATGAAGTAGACACCTGTGACCTGAATTGGCCTCTTAGACCCTCCATCCTCTGAGCGGCCATCTTCAAATGTGAGACTTGCACACAGCGTAGATAGGCACTGTATGCGGGGCACTATGGTTCTGTGTTGCAGTATTTGGGATTAGCACTGTATATAATCAGGGTTTTTGTAAGTGCTCTAGAGACTATTCTCAGAAATCTTTCTCATATCTTTTTTTTTTTCTTCTCTATCCCCTTACATTAACTGCCTAGGGCTGCAATAACAATGTGCCACAAACTGGATGGCTTAAAACAACAGAAATTTATTGTCTCACAGTTTTGGAGGTCAGAAGTCCAAACTCAAGGTATTAGCAAGGCCATGTTCTCTCTAACGGCTCTGGAGGAAAAATCCTTCCTTGCCTCTTCTAGCTTCTAGCATATGTCAACAATCCTTGCCTTATAGATACATTACTCCAGTCACATAGCTGTTTTTTCTGTATGTGTCTTCATATCATCTTCTGTCTGTGAGTGTTTCTCTGTGTACAAATCTCTCCTTTTTATAAGGACACCAGTCATAATGGATTAAGGCCCCACCCTAATGACCTCGTTTTAACTTGATTATCTCTCTACTGACCCTGTTTCCAAATGAGATCATATTCTAAGGTACTAGAGGATACATACTTTTTCAACATTCTTTTTGGGAAATACAATTCAACCTATAATACCTCTCAAATCAATCCATAGTCTAAGGTTTCATCCATGAATTCCCCAGTTTCAACCTCTTTCACCAAAAATGATTTAAAGCTCTTCTACTGGAATCACTGTTTCATGCAAGAGTTTGACGAATTTTGACAAATATGTGTACCCATGTAACCACCATTCAGATTAATATATAGAACATTTCTGTTGCCCCAGAAAGTTCTCTCAGAAACCTTTCCAGTCAGTTACCCCACTCTTCATCTCGGAGGTAACCACTGTTTTGATTTCTGTAACTATAGATTAGTATTGCTTTTCAAAAGAATTTCATATAAATTAAACATTGCAACGTGGACACTTTTGTTTGGCTTCTTTTTTAAATTTTTATTTGTTTTTGTGTTTGACTTCTTTCCCTCAATATGAAGTTTTTGAGATTCATCCACGTTTTTTTCTCTTCAGTTGCTAAGAAGTATCTCTTTGTATGGATGGCCCACAGTTTGTTTATCCTTTCTCCTGCTGATGTCGGTAAACCTCCTATGGACATTTATGTGCAAGTGTTTTCATGAACATGTGCTTTTATTTCTGTTGGAGGTATACCCAGGAGTAGAGTTGCTGGATCATAGGTTGGGTATATGTTTATTTTATTAGCAGTTACTTGGCTACCTTTTTGATAAAGTCACTCTTAAAAAAGGGGGCTCAATCCCACTTTTAAATCTTTTTGTCAGCAGATTTTTTCCAAAGCTTGTTAGTTAGCTGTAGAACCGCATTACTTTGTTAGAGAAGAAAATTATACTGTGGGCTCCAATTCTCCCTGCAGATTTGTGGGTGTTCTTTCTATCTCTGTAGCTTCCTGCTGTTCCTGAGCTTATGCATCTCCCCAAGGTCTTCTCTTCAGGACCTTTTCAGCTGAGATTCTTTTAACATGCAAGGCCACTAATGTCCTTCAGTGCTCAAAGTAACTGCCTTCTTCATGTTGATTTAAAAAGCAAGAAGATTTGCTTGCTGGCCAGATAATCTTCTAGTTATTAAGCAAAGGATCTGTACATTTATTCACAGTTGTCCTTTTGTTACTAGCTGTTTCATTTAGTCTGTGCTATGGAATGCTGGGAGTCCTTCCAGATAATTAAAACCATAGGCTGGAGCATGTATCTGCCCATTGATGATACCAGCAGGGCTCCTGACCCTGTTCTCTGACCACCCAGCGAAACTTAGGGTGAATGTGGGCCTCTTGTTTGGTCTCTGGCATCTCAGTGAGTTGTTTCCTTATAGGTCCTGTTTTGCTGCGTTCCTATTGTCTCTATGTCCTCCTGCTTGCTGTCAATGGAGTAACTGAGTGCTTCACATTCGCTGCCATGAGCAAAGAGCAGGTCGACAGGTAGGTAACCTTAAAGACACATCTTTAATCATGGTCTTTAGCCAAAGTGAAGTAACTTGCCAACCTTTTTTTTTTTTTTTCCCCCCATTCTGGACATGCATTTACACAAGGCTCTTTTAGAGGTAGCATTTAGACCATTAGTGCAGTGCCTTCGCTGGGCTGTCTGTTGCACAGGCACCATTTGGTTAGTCCTCCCTATGGTAGGGCTGAGGGCAGCAACTGCTCTTCTCTGTGGAGGAAGAAATCTGGGCCCTGAAGGGTTATGGTAGTCCAGATTTGCAGAGATAGGTATAAGACAAGCTTCACAGCTCTACCTCTTACCCAGTGCTCCAGTGGGTTACCAAGGAGTTTCTTCAACATGCATTCCTACCCGAGAATCTGGTTCTTCAGTCTTTGAGAATCTCTGGGATCTCTGACATCTCTCCTCAGAAAAAGGCCCAAGTGCACATACACGTATTGCCACAATTTTTTCTTATTTATTGACCCCAGATGAGGACCTCTACTTTGGAACCTCAAGCAATGGTTCTTTCCCCTGGTTGTGAGTCAAAATGTCCCGTGGAGTTGGCTAGAAATGCAGATTTCCTGTCTACTTCCACCACTGTCTTTCTCCCACAACAACTACAGAATCAGCAGGCCCCTGAGCATGTATATGTGTTTTAGAAGCTCCTCAATGATTCTGATGTGAACTGCTGGTTAGGAGCCTGACACCCAGGATTATTCATCTCTTGTGTCCCAGTTGCCAAAAGTCGCAAGGCAGTATCTTGAGACATCGTTACAGGATGAAGTTGAGGAGAAGGATAAGAATGATAGGAGAAAAGAAGAGAGGGGAAAAACAGAGGATAGGAGGGGTGGGTGTGGTAATGGGGTGAATGGCCCTCATTATCTCTTTACTCCTTGGGTCCCCTGGTGTTGTTCATGCTGCCTTTCTAATGCCTTGAGTGCTGTTAAAAGCCCACAGAGGCCCTGTGGCAGGGATGGGATGGGGAAAGGGTAATTCAAAGAGTTGGAGAACCCTTCTTCTCTTTCAGAGCAACCTCTCTCTTCTTCCCATCTTGGGCTGTCTCACAAAGAAGCTTTGTGACTTTGTTTGCTATAGATTAGAACTGGAGTCTAGAGCAGTAGTCCCAGCGCAGACTGATCAGATTCCCATAGGAAGTTCTAGACCCCTCCTAGACCAACTGAATTGGAATTGTAGGGGCTTGGGCCAAGGAATCTTTTATTACACAGCTCCAGGAGATTTCTCATAATGGCTAGGACCTTAGAAACTGCTGGCCCAAACCAGCTTTGACAGTAAAAACTACATTGAGCATTGTGACTCAGTACATATTTCAGTGAATATAATTGAAACTTTCTGCTTTCATGAAGCATAAATACTCCAGTTATGCTCAGGACACACTGATGGTTTTTAATTCTGTTCTGTTTCATTTGTTAAAGTTCCACGTCGTGATGCACTAAATAGATTTTCCAGCCCACTTTCCGGTCACAACACACAGTTTTCACATAGCAGCCTAGACATGGTGTTTACCTCAAGTGGTTAAATTTATAGCTGTAAAACTACTTCGAATCCATCCTCTTCACCTTTTTTTTCCTCCCATGAATGGAAAGGTCTATTTAAGTTTTAATTTTGAAAACACTGTGTTTTTATTTGAAAGGTGCATCTAATACGAAATAATTTTTAAACACAACTTAAAAGATACTAAATGAAGCACTGAAGCATAGTGGAAAGAGCTCTGGACTAGGAATCTATCTCTTTGATGGGAATTTTGTTACAATAATATCAGCATTAGTGTTGAGAGGAAGAATCAATACTGTAGCCTGCTTAAAATTTTGAAAACAACATATCTTACAAGCAAATCATGAGGACATACAGAGAGTGCCTGGTTGCTTTCTTTACTCTTATGTTGCATTGAACAAATGAAACAACTTTTAAGTTAGTCATAATGGGATTTTGACAGTATATAAACATCTGGAAAATTATTTTCATGGTATTAGAAGTCAACATAGAGAAAAAGACAGAACAGTGTGCCTGCTAATGCAGTTCTCATCTAAAATATCTCACCTCCTTTAAGAGTAAAATGTGACTTTAAGTGTGGTCTTAAGATACGTATTAAACGTAGTAGGCCCTGAGCACATGGAGCCCCTGAGCTCATCACAGACCCCTGGCATTTTTTTCATCTCTGTAAATTTAACCAGACATAAAACTCTAGTGAGGATTTTTATAGTAGAATTGGGAAGCTTACATGTTATGATTGATTAACATTAGACGTTTCAGATTCTGAATTTTAAAAAAATATCGATAAAATCATGGACTTTCACTTAACCAACTTCAAGCTAATCAGTATTTTTCAGGGTATTTAGTTGGATGTGAAATATTAGGACATCCTTTGAATTAATTGCAAGTTGCTTTTTTGTTAATAACCTCATATATATGTAGAATATGATTGATAGATTTTTCATTATGCCTTACTGAAGAATTTTTGTTTTGTTTTGTTAAGGCTATCTCGTTTTCTTTTGTTCATTTGACAAATGCTTTTTGAGCATCTTCTCTCTAACAGGCATTGTTTTAAGTTCCAGGAATATAGCAGTGAATAAGACAGATGAGATTCCTGCTCTCCTGAAGCTGACAGTGAGAGAGGTAGATAGCAATCAAGTAAATAAGAAATATTGTGCTGTTCAGAAAACTAAAACAGGGTTATGTAGTGAGGGCCCTTTTAGATTGGGAGGCCTCTCTGAGAAGGTGGCATTTAGGCTGAGGTTTGGATGACCAAGAAGAGTCTGCCATGCAAAGATGGGGCAGAGCCTTCCAGGCAGAGGGGACAATGATGAAAAGGCCCAAGGTTAACAGCTCCTTCATATGATTTGTTGGCGCTGAGTGCCCAACATGAAGTGGGACTCTATAACTGTTGAATGAAGGATGAGTGCAGTCTGCTCATGGTGGCACATACAGGCTGGTGCCATCCTTTTCATGGCTGCAGGGGCTATACTGTATGGCTGTGCCTTGATGTAGGCAACCATCACCTACTGGGGTACACTTTAGTTGCCAATGCAGTCAACATCCATGACCATCTATCTTTTGATAAGCCTGATTTTAAGCCCAGTATCTTCTTGGGGTGATAGAAAAACAAGCATTCATAAATAATTTACTATTTATGTTAACCAATCCTTATAAAGCAGTCATCATCGCCAGAGACTGATTTTGCATTGATTTAAAATGTGGTGTTTTAATTGCATCTTTAAAATTCTCATTTTTTCCTAGATTATGCCTTTAAGGCTATTGATTTATGAGTTCTGGAAAGTTCAACATCTGCAGAGTCCTATTCTAGTGAAAAACAGTGGACCCCCATCATTGGCTCCCCCCAGATGGCCACACCAAATAAGCTGCACTGTTGAATTTATCCCTGCTTGAATTAGCTACTGGTTTCATTCATTATTGCCATTTTACTTGGAGTTGGGTTAGGATTACTTTGAAAGTTTGTGAATCTATGGCCTAAACTCTAAAGATTGGTGTAGTAGACCTTTCTGAGATAGTTTCTCGAGGGAAAAATCAACCAGGTTACACATCTCTGCTTCTTTTGGAAAAGAGATCAGAGTACTGATCTACGATGGGTCCCACCTCAGTGACTTCTTATGAAGTTGGTGACTCTGATCATTGATTAGTAGTGAAGAAACTTCCCCTGTGAAGGTACAGGTTCATGTACTTCCATTGCTCGTTAAAAGAGACCCTCCCAACTAAGAAGCAAACAAATCCCCTCTTTAGAATTCTGGATGAAAGCACACCTCCCTTGTTGGAGTATAGCAGTGTATGTGTTTTGTGGATGTGAATGTGTCTTGGCATACATTCTGATAAACTGTATCTCCATAGCACCTTGGGCTTAGCCCGAGGACCAGTACCTGGTCGTTCAGGGGACACAGTGGATTTTTTACCACCTGTCATGTGTAAAACCTGACTAGTAGCTTCCGAGGTTTCCTAATCCAGCAGATACAGCTCTGGGTTGGGGGAGGGGGCGTGTAAGGGATTTCATTCTCTCAACAGCTATGTACTTAGAAGGCCTGCTATGCACTAGGCAGAAACCAGATGCTGGAGAATTTTGTTCGTGGGTTTACCGCAAACCTTTTGGAGCATTTGCTTTGAGCAAGGTCCACTAGCCAAGGTTACAGGGCTTCTGTGTTTCCCAAGGGAAGTGGTATGAGGCCCTGAAGTTTAGGAGCGAGAGGTCGGGTTGGAGTGTTGGCTCAGTCCTTAGGCAAGTTACTCAGACTTCTTGTAAAATGAATTTAAACTCCACAGGGCAAGGATCATGTGTGTTCATTCATAGCACCCCTCACAGTCTCTGTCGCAGAATTAGCATTCATATGTAATTATTACTCATGTCATATTCTTGTGCTTCACATTGAAGACTCAGGCTGAACAGGATTTTTATGTGTTTTCATCACAAAGTGTCACTTAAACTAACCAATTATTATCCTTAAAAACCATAAATATCCTCAGTTGCTCATTTTCTTACTCTTCTATTCAGGGGTGAGAGGGACAGTGACATTTCCATGTTATCCATGTAGCATTCAGTGTTATGAAAATGGTATGGATTATGGGAACTGAGAGGTACTTTCTGTGACTTCATGTTCACAGCCACTTTTTCTGCAGCAGGAGCAGCAGCAGTCCTGTCTTAGGACAAGGTGCCCGCTGCTCTGCTTCATTTGTTTCCCTCTCCCTAGGTACAATTTCACGATGCTGGCTCTGTCATCTTCATTCCTGGTGTTATCCTATCTCCTGACCCATTGGTGTGGCAGTGTGGGCTTCATCTTGGCCAACTGCTTTAACATGGGTATTCGGATCACACAGAGTCTTTGCTTCATCCACCACTACTACCAAAAGAGCCCCTACTGGCCCCTGACCGGCCTGTACCTGTCGCCAGTCCTCTTCGGAGCATTTGCCCTCAGTGGTGGGATTACTGGTATTTCAGAGGTGAGACTCCCTGCACTCTTCACACCACATGCTCTGGCGGGCTGTCCACTGTTCCTCACTCTAGGCTTTGCCTTCCCACTCTGCCTAAAGCAGCTGGACAAGTATTTACCTCCTCTTATCCCTTCCCCTAAGCCTCTAGGATCGTATCTTATGATAAATGTGACCAAACCATGTTACCAGTGGGGATAGAAGAGACCCTCAGTACACAGTTTTCATGCTTTTTATCTGACTCAAAGCTGGAACAGTAGGGCCTCCACTTTCCCTGTCTTGCTCTAGAGGAAAGTTGTACAGTCGGAGGGACCAGGGCAGTGACAATGGTTTCTTTCTGCAGGTGTTCCTCTGCTGTGAGCAGGGCTGGCCATCCAGGCTGGCACATGTTGCTGTGGGGATCTTCTGTTTGGGAGTAACTCTCGGGACAGCTTTCCTCACAGAGACCAAGCTGATCCACTTTCTTAGGACTCAGTTAGGTGTGTCCAGACGCGCTGACAAAATGACATGACTTCAGGGATTCACTGACACCTGTGCCCCTGGACCAGCTGTGGGGCGGTTTTGTGGGTGGAACACACGTTCTGTGTGGATAAGCCCCACAGAGGTGTCTGCAGTGGAGAGAGACCAACCTAGGGAGGTGAGACATTGGAGAGAACCACCAGACCAAACACTTACCTTCCAGTTGAAGTCTCAACCAGGAAGGAGGTGTTCTATTTTTAAAGGAAGGCCTAAAAGCTCTTTTAAAATAGATAATTTTTTTTTTTCACTATTTTGTACTAATCAACATTTTTCCTTTTGATTAATGTATTCCTTTTGGCTGTGATTGACCTTAAGAGCTACATGCTCCAACAAACTATATCTTGGATGTTAACAGTTAATAATCATCTAGTCCAGAAAAAGAGAGATGGCCATTTTACCCTTCATAGGAATATTTGATTTTTTCTATAAAAGAAGGAAGGAGACTTGGTGTGAGATACCAAATAAGAACAAAGGCAGTCTGGGAGTTGTGGCTTTTCTTTTGTCAGCAATGTGGTCTGGGTTTTTAGAAAACGAGAAATGTTACTCAATAAGAAATCCAAGAAATGAAAACACGAAGTCTTTGAGATTATGTTTCCCAGAGTTAACTAGGGTGGATCACGCCTGATCTTCACAGCTGTGTCCCTGGGGCCAGCACACGCATTCCCACAAGACCCTTGGCCTGGCCACCTGCAAGAGGGGGATTTTGAAGGAAACTGATCCAGTGTGAGCTGCCTTGTCTGCTGAAGGGAACACTGCTTTGCAGCTGACTGTAACTTGCTGTGTGGAGATTGCACAGATGACAACCAAAGTTGAATAGATGTATCTTTTTTACCTCAAAATAAAATAGGGTAAATTCTGTATGGCAAGTATCACTGAGTCAAGCCTCTCCCATTACTTCTACAACCGGTCAGTACACCCGAATTCCAGCTACAAGACGAGAGCAGCAGCCTTGGGGTCTGGTCCTCCAGGCTACAATGGGACCCCAGGCTAAGGCTCACCTCCCTAGACCCTGGACCCAGCAGGTGAGATCACTGAGCATTGTTCCTAGGCAGCAAATCATTTTTCTTCTTTTGTTAATGTATTAATTTCTTTTGCATATCATTGACCTTTGGATCTACATGCACAAACTCTATCATGAGTGGTAATAGTTATCATGTGGCCCCAATGTCCCTAAATTTTCTGTTTATACTCAGAGAGCAGGTTTTCACCTAGGCCAGCAAAGACAACTTGTATCAGACAGTCGTTTGGCTAAAATACATGCATTTAGCTTCACTGGCCCGTAGCTGGAGCCGAGGATCCAATGATCAAGACCCAGTAGCAAACCCAGACTAGGGCCCAATCACCTTTTTATCAAAGGAGATTCTCCTTTATTCAAAGGAGAATGCTTTGCACTAACTGGGGGGAAAGTAGCTAAATGCAAGGTGTCACTGAGCAATCAGAGGCCCTCCAAAAGCATGGCCTTGGTCATGCTTTTGTAAGGCAGGGTCAGGTTAGCTCAGAGTGGCTGGTTGTCCAATGGAATAGGGTAAACAGCACACACAGAAGGCAGCCCTCCTTGCCATTTACCTTTTTTGTCCCTTGAGTGTGTGGAAATGGGCCTTGATCCCTTACAAGTTCCTTCTCTGTTGCCCCTTACCACCCACCATCCCCTAGGACCTTATCACTCACCCCATGTCCACTTTACTCCAGACTCAAAGCATGGCTCTTGAAGTACCTATCACAGAATCCCCTGGATTTCAATATAAATGTGGTTCCCAGGACCCACTCCAGACCTTTGGAATCTGCATCTCTTGGGGCAGGGCTCTGGAATCAGCTTTTTTGGCAAACTCATTGTCCTCATCAGCGTCAAGGCACAGGAGCAGTTGTGCACATGTTCACGGTGTCCATTCTCTGCTCCAGGGAGAGCTGCTGTTGCCTGAGCAGATTTGTTGACTTTCCAGTTCTTCGGGAGCCAGACGACCAAGGTATCTGCTCTGCCCTCCAGTGTGACAGCCAGTGCTTGTTCTCTCATCTCTTGTCCCCAGGTAGTCCACCTTTACCCAAAAAGGATTTTGGGTGGGAATCACACTTTTGCCTTTAAGTACCACTTAAATGTGAGGTTACTTCTCCATGGAAATAAGTCTCTAAAGCACATGCTTTTATGAAACGAATTGGTGGTGAGAATAACTATTTCTTTCTGTGCTGCTCTGGCCACACACGTGTGTTGGTGACTTCAGATGTGGCCTGTCAGATCCCTCCATGAAGGGATGCTGCTGCTGCAGCTGCTGCTGAGTTACTTTTCCCTTAGTGCGACTCCTGGCTCTGGAGTTGTATCTGTCCCCCTCTCTGCCACTTACCCAGCCTCATTCTAACAGGGCACTTCCTCCTGTCTTTTGTCTTTAATCATATATTCATGTTGCTAGTTGTATGCAAAGTCCCTGATTTTAAAATGAATAAATTGGTGTACGGCCATGCTACCCTGAACAAGCCCAATCCTGTCTGATCTCTTTATGGAAGCTAAGCAGGGTTAGGCCTGGTTAGTACTTCGATGGGAGACCACCTAGGACGACCACGTGCTGTAGGTGTAAAAAATAAAAAAAATAAGAGATTGTAAGCTGACAAGGTCCTTGCAATCTGTGAGGTCAACCAAGGGTTGCCTCGCCTAAAAAAAGTAAAAAATAAAAATAATAAATGAATAAATTGTTTTCTACATATCTTCAGATCTCTCACACCCTTCCTCTTTCTAAAAAGGAAAAGAATTTTTTCTTAAATTTCAAAAGGAAGGTGAGCAAGTAGAGTTTGGAGTATGTGAACCATTTTTGTTGTCACAGCATTTCTTTCTACATGGATATTGTGACTGGACCGTGATTCCTGACCGAAAGAGGGGTGGATTCCTGGCCTCTGCATTGGAATCTTCTGTGTCTAGGACTGAAAGTCCTGGCAGTTTGTTTGTTGCTCTTCTTTTCTCACCCAAAACAGTGTTTCCCATTATTTATTGTACTTTTTTCTATCTTCTCTCTCTGGCCTGGTCCTTGTCTTGGTTATGTTTTTAAATTAAGCAGCCATTCTTTGACAGGTCAGGACTAATATCAGGGTCAGGAAGGGCAAGTGTGAGATTTTAGGCAGTGTGATTTTTTAGGGAGTCCAGAGTACCATTCACCCATATCTTTCTTAATTGGTGCTTGAATTTCCATCCCCCCAGAGAGAACTCAGTGACTCATTCATACTGAGATATACAATAACCCATTAGAAATTCTTTCCTGAGCATCTTTTGATATTGAGGAGACAGGAGTTGAGGGCATCCAGGACCTGAAGGAGAAGGGGCTCAGGTGAGAGGCTGTGCAGGCCCCAGAGGTAGTTACTCTGAATGCTGCTCTGTGGCCTTTGGGTTGGATAGAATTCAGTTATGGGAGAAACCAAGGAGAATGTGATCCCTGGCCCAGACTTGAACAAGTAATGACTGAAAATGGAGCAGGCCTGGGTGGGGACTAGGGAAGGGAAAGAAGCCGGAGAACCCTTTCATGTGCCTACAAACCCCTGCTCCTAGGGGAGGCCAGGCCAGAGGCGGGGTGTGGGGGACCTTTGGCATTGATGGCAAAGTAAGGAGAACTCCCACCAGGAGTTCGGTCCAGAGAACCTTGGGGGGCTGAGTCATGGGCTTAGGTTGCTCAAGGTTTTCGGTGACCCTAAGGAAGGTTTCTGGAAGGAAACTGAAAGCCAGGAAGCCTGTGGAGCCTGTCAGGATCAGATTTGGAAAGGAGATGAGCTAAGACCTAATTGTCAGGAGTCCCATAGAAATTTCTTAATAGTAAACAGAAGTAGACAGCTACAAAAGAAGAATTCTGTGAAATACCTCTTTATTTTCTTACTGTTGTATGATCTTCAGGAAGGGACTGAGACTTGGGTTTTTACTTTGGAAATGAGACTTCTGAGCCAATCAGACACAGATGGAAAATGATTTGTCTTACTATTATTTACTGTACCTGGGTGAATTAGCCCTTAATGCTGCAAATATTTCATTTGCTAATTAACTTTTAAGGTAGCAGAAAAGATGTTTTGTTTGAAGAGTTTGGGGGGAGACTCGTATTGATTTGCATCATCAGTCTGACCCCAAGTACTATGGCATAATCAGTCTCATTATTTAGTGTCATTCATTTTTAACCCAAACTGCTAGGTATATCAAAGTAAGGTTAGAAGAATGGGTTCCTAATATAGTTCAGCCTCCTTTAAGGGCCTAATGAAGGAGGCCCAGATGAATTAACAGAAGTTGCTGGGTGCCCTGTCCCAAAGTGCAATTGATTCTTTACCTGTAACTTCTCTATCCTTGGGTAATGTGGCCTTAAATGGAAAGTGGTAGAGGTGAGGTGGAGGGAGTTAGGTCTTACCCTTCATAAAAATAGTTCCTCAGCAGAGTAAGTGTACCCAGTGCTTTGTCCCAGCCTCTGCAGACTCTAGCACACTCACTTTCGGAGACCACTCCCCACAGCTTGTCAAGCCTATTACAGTAGACTATGTTCCACACTGAACATAGAGTATTTAAGTACACAAGGGTCGTGGTTGGCAACTTGGCATGATGTTATGTTCTGTAGACATTTAAACATCAATTTTGAAGTTTGTTTGTACTGTTTGTGGAGCCAGTACATTTTGTTTCCATCTCAGTCATTTCTGTAGGTTCCTGAAGCTGCTGCCCTGGATGCTTCCCTATGAAGCCAAATGAACCCAGGGCCTGGGGCCTTGGGAAGGAGGAGTGGGGCCTGTGAGGCTGCCTCACTGTGAAGCTGGCAGGTGCCCAGGCACTGGGATAGCTCCTGGACCTTCCTCTTCCTGGCTTTCCACCGGGAGTGATTCTCACCTCTCCTGGGGCCAGACAGCTGGTGGGCAGGCTGGTGGGCAGTGAGAGGAGGAGTTCCTAGAACCAGAGTAGAGGTATGCTGCTCTCAGAGTAGAGGCCCAGCTTTTTCTATTGATGAGACATTCTTTTTCACCACCTGTTATCTTCAGCCCCCAGTCTCTCCTCTTAGCTTTAAGCTCTGTTCTGAATGTAAAGCCCTTAAAGGAAAAATGGAACTGGCCCCGGTCATCTTTAGGGCACCTGCTGTGGGTCATGCATCATAAATGAGCTAGTGGGTTGTTTGCCTTTGGGTCAGATGAGCCTCCTGGTTCAATCAGCTCTCTCTGGGAAGGGGTTGGGCAAGGTGACCTGATTCATCCAGGGTTGGCCCTTCAGCCTGAGAAGAGCTGCATGAGGTCCTGTGACATAATGGTGACTTGTGAAGGAATCTTCTAGACCACCATCTATTTGTCTCATTTCCTCCCTCCAATAAATATGTCCCAAAGTTATGACCCTGTTGACTACTGTCACAGTGTAGCCCTGGCCTGACAAATGCAATTGACAGAGGCCACCTGGGTTCACAATGCTCAGTGGAAAGGGACCCAAAAAACTGGCAATTCTAAGTCTTTTAATCTCATCTGCACTGCCCTATCACAAACTGGGTTCTTGGAGGGGCTCTGATGGCTGTCAACACAGTCAGTGAGCAGTGACTAATTATGACATGACTGCATTAGTCACATTGGAGGTGACAACTGAGCAGCATGTTTCTGGTTCGTGTCTGGGAAATCCTGACATAGTTTTCAATTATGTGGAACTAATAGAGTATGGCTTCCATGCAGTCATGTCGCGTGGGAGAGAAGGGAGAAGTCTGAAATGGTAGTGTGTTTCACTGTGGGCAGCACCAGTTTTGTCCCAGTTTACCCACCACTCACCCCTTTGCAAAAATCATGAAGGGTGATACCAGGGTGAATGGCATAAGGGGTACCAGAGGGCCTCTTTCCGAAGGCCTTTTGGTTTCCACTACTGTTCCCAGGAGAATTACCGAGAATTCCAAGAGGG